ACATAATATGAAATTAGTTGTGCAGCTCTTCTTTTTATAATGCCATTTTGGGCCTTCATTCAGGAAAGCAATCTTAATGTCCAGCCTCGCCTCATGCTATTCTGAGCAAGAATACTTTGATGAATGTGTTCAGAGTTCTCAATTTTAAAATTATATTGTGAAAATGTCACAGGAATTTACTAGACCACAAAACTGTCCTAAACATGAGACATATAGAAATATTATCAAGAATATTGTATTTACATTTCTAAAAGCCCATATCAGTCAATGATAAAGTTAACATTTCCACAGTAACAATCCTTTATGTTGCTCATTTTAGTGTATTCTGTATTATTAGTCTTGTCCTACTTCAGATGTAAATGACGGAACAGCTGTTGACTCCAACAGGAACTCTACCTATCTAGAGCCTACTGCAAGACCAGATTTCATATACCTACACAACTGTTAACTGAGTTAAGTTTTCATAGTTTATATGATACATTATATTGTAGGTGTGTAAAAATCTGTTGTTAAAGTTTACTGGCACCTTCCATTGACAAGTTTATAAATTTGCCAAAGTCAAATTTTTCAGCTGAACTTTTAGTACCGTGTTACTGGCATTAGGATGATTTTTTTGCTTCATGAACCAAAACGCATCTGGTATGTTAAGAACGTTATTAGGAAGAAACATGTTGTTTTGCCTTTGTTAAAAGCCACAAACCTGTTTTCAGTCCTGTATCTTCCTGTTTTGTAGCAGGAACTGAAAATGGGAGGTTGGGGGAAGGAGGTGGTATTTGCTGATATTATGCAACATAACCTAGCCCTGTTTAAGACCGCAATTCAGTGCTGCAGAAACCCAGCCAGGCCCCCCTTGCAAATACCTCTTCAAACTATCAAGAAAAAATTTAGTGGCAGAATAAAGGGTTGAACTCCAGGAGACTGTCCTTCTTGTTTTTTTTTTTTTCTTTTTACTAAAGCCAACAGGGTAAGGACGACAGAAATAGTGGTCATTTTAGCAAAGCATGTGACTTATCTCCAGCTCTGTGTAATTAACACAGACAATGAAAGCTCATGGGTAATCACACTTCAGCAGTTGATTACTACTTGATTTTTCAGGTGGATTAGCTAAACAGTCTCTTTCAGTACCACAAGACAGCTATAAAGCGTGGTGCTTTCCCTCTTACGTGACCTGACATACAAGGCACGCAAAGTAAAGCTGGTCTTCCCAAGGAGCACTGTAAGATTTAGTACTACAGAAACACCGTCCCCACCATTTCTGTGCAGTGTTCTCCTTACAGAACAGTGTGGCACTAGGGGGGGTGGGGGAAGAAATGTGAAATAAAAAGTTGAAGTATTAAAAGTCTTGCCTTAATTATACTACTTTTACTAACAAGACATCCGTCAAAGTTATTTTTTTGTTTTCAGACAGCTACAAGCATGTTGGCTTCAATAGGATCACTACTTTCCTGGCTGGGAGCAAAACATCAAGCTTCTGATTAATAACCATTTTCTATAGAACTCAAAAAACTAATCCATAAACAAGCAAAAACTTACCCAACAGCAGGATTCACAATTCTAATATAGTCATAGCATCTTCCAATGACAATGCTTTCCAGGTTTCGCGTTGTACCGTCACCTTTCCATTTCCCTCCCTGCACTTCTGAGAAGCTGTTCATAAACAGAACAGAGACAAGTAAGAGAGACAAAAAAAGGCTCTTCATCATGAATTCTTGACAACCCAAGTTCTTAAAAAAAAAAAAAAAGGAGAGTTAAATGATACAATTTAAATGGAAACCAGGAGGCTTAACCATTAATATTTGTAATACTGGCTATATCTCTGTACAAAAGACAAAGTTAGACGGAAATCTGAACCTTGCTGGGGACTGTAATCAAACCGTTTCCTGGACGATTGCAGCATAGGGATACATCACTTCCTCATGCCTAACTGTTCCCCACTTCAGTAAAACGAGACTTTTAAGGTCACGATATTGCCACCTGGTGATAACTGGGAAGAATTACAATATATTTCAGCAAAGGGAGGAAAAAACCCTTACCACTTCAGCATTTACGATGCCTTAGGTTCGCTTACTGCTCGTTGCCGTTCTACGCCTTCCTAACACATCACAAGAGCTCGCAAGCAACATGTTTCAAACCAGTTTCTTTTCGTTTTAAAAGGGCTATACTTTTTGCACATATTTCTCTAATGGCTGAAAAAAATGCCAAGAACAAAAAAAATTTGAAATATGCAGGTAAAGCAATGATCTCATAAATGCCCAAATTCTCAGGTGACCTTGTGTCACACAGAGGAGTAACACTAGTCAGCTCTTCTTCCACCTCTCTGCTGGATACTGACAGCGACATTTTGGTGCAGTGATAATGTGTTTTAAAGTCTTCTTAATGAACAAAACCACCTTGCAGGCAGGAATCAATCATAAGGAGAACCAAAAGGATTAAGAAATACCTCCCGTGCACTGAAGAAATTTCTTCAACTTCTGTTTACTCTTATTCTCCCTCCAGCTTTTTTTTCCTTAAGTACTTTGTTAGATCACCAAGTGGCATCAATTAATCTAATCTTCAGTGTAAATATTCTGTGGTATACACGGCTGCAAATATAGAGACGCTACTTTTTTTCCTTCTAAAAAAAATTTTTCTTTCAACCTTAGAGTAATCTGTCTATGGACTCACACTTCTGAGGAACACGCTGGTTCTTTTTCTCTATTAAACAGTCTCCATGCCTCAATGAATATATACATCTTATGTACTTATTTGTATAGTGTCATGCTTACATTGAAGCACTGGTATGCAGCTGATGGATTTTCTTGAAGGCAAAACTTTGCTAATCATCAAGTAAATTGCTGATGATGGATCTCTCCTGTAAATGTGATAGAAAGATAACCAGTTGGTCTGTTAACTGCAGCAGAGTCTTCAGGAAAGCCAGGTTTACCCAGAAATGGATGTGCAATGCTGTACTTGACATGGTAGAGACACAGCAAATGCTGTACTTCACTTTCAGGTACTTCTCTGATGCTTTTTCTCCCTATTTCTCTTCCCAACCTCTCTGAAACGCAGCCGTGCTGTTAGGGCACCAGCACATTAATCAAACAGTTTCAAGTCATTGCTTTGGGTTCAGGAGTAGAGAGTGCAATAATCCCTGGGAGTCAATGCTTTTTTTTTTAATTATCAACTTTGCTGCAAACAAATTTTGCCCAGTAATTTCAGAGCTAACAGAAACCAGAGGCATCATGGATGCCTTCTATATAGAACAGGGCAGAAATTGTCACCGACTTTTGCATCAAGACTAAAACTTCTGCTTAAAATATATAGTGTAAGTTAAAAAAAAATAAAGATGGATACTGAGTTTTGGAACAGCTTTTCTCCAAGGACACCCCAGGTTAGGAGTTATCAACCTCGGGAAGAAGATGTGGATGTTGCTCAGTGGTGTTCTTCAAAAACAGATGACCTGTCATAACATCCCAGAGGGAATGGAAATGAGTCCAACATCTGCTGGGATCCCCATCTCATCATCTATGGAGCTCCCTCTCCTCATTGGCCACTTCTAGAAATATAACATCTGGCCAGAAAGGCCTCTGATCTAACTCAACACAACCATTTTCAATTTATATGTTCTTAGTTGTTACTTGAATACTTCACATGATGGTTAAACTATCACACCTCTGTGGAAACTGTTCCAATGGTTTGATAGCCTTGAGATACAAACCTTAGCTCTGGCCTGAACTTGTCCACCTTTAGCTTCTAGTCATTGGATCTCATGATGTTTTTTTCTGTTACATTAATGAAGAATCTACCCTCAGAAATCTTTTCTCCATGTAAATTCTTGCAGAAAATGACCAAGTCTCCCATTAACCTTTGTCCATGAAAAAAACAGTACTTTAATCCCATTATCAGGCACTTTCTCTTGCAGTATTGTACTTTGCCACCATAAGCTGGCTGTCCATCTTGCCTTCCAAGGCCTGGCAATTCATGCTGGAGGCAGATCACTGCCCCTCGCTCTCTGCCCTTCTCTCCTAGAAGAGGATATTGCCCATGAAGCAGAGTCAGCAAAATTGGCAGCACATCTGGTCTGGAGATACTCTAGTTCACAAACTGAGTATTAACTCAAACAACCACGAAATTCAGCATATGATTATATTCTGAAGCCCTGTAAGATAAGGAACGGACGTGTTCTCTCTTGTTATTTCTACTAGATGGGAGTGGTAACTTCCAGCAGAAGGATGGTGTAACAGGTGAGAACATAATTCCCCTATTATTACTCAGGTATGAACTGCTGGCAGAATAACCCCAATTCTGTACAACTTCACGCTTCATTCCTGGAAATATGACCTTGGAACTGCTTATATTAACAGCTCCTCGGTAAGCAACAAACTTCACCAAATGTTTTTTCTTGAGGGTTTGTGTCTTCAGTGCATAATTCTACCTACAGGTATAACCCAGTCTCAGCTGCTCCCTGGTATGCCATGATATACTCTCTGTGCAAGAAATGCACAAGGCCAAAGCCAGAGCTGTGCTTGCTAGCCAAGCAGTAGAGGCAACCATGTGCTGGTTGGCCAGCTGCGTAACACCTGTGCTTTGCCTTTCTTTTCTTTACTCATGTGTAACTGCTTTGTTTTCCCCCCAAAGTTGCACGAATTTAACCTTCCCAGATTCATATATATTTGCAAATATGATTAAGTAGGCCAGCATGTTCAAAAGTCCTTGGAGGTGGAAAGGATGAATGGAAAAGGAAACACCCAATACTGCAATTGCTTAATCCTCATTTCCTTAGATAAAGGGATAAAAAGATTATTGTGCACAGTGTGATCTAGATAACCCTTATCATGTGATCTCTCCTTCTCAACTCACTATCTACTACCAGCAATAATTTCGCAATTTCTTCCCAAACACATTGAGGAACGCTGGACTAAAAACATGTGTGCCTTTGCTCAAAATATTTCAATCTGTTTACAATTAATTGCTTACATCTATAAACTAGCTAGCTTTTAATCTATTTAGTATCTGCAACATAGATTTTGTACAGTAAAAGTTTTCAGTGAGGAAGGTCTACTGCATTTATTATATGTTTGACAATGCTTTTTTTTGGGACATTTACTACACACTGGCATGCTGGTCAACGGTTTTACTACACATTGCCATATTAGCTCACAGTTAAACCTTTCGTCAAACTGATGTTTTATCTCAATTCCGCTGAGTGTTTCTGCTCTTTTTGAAATGTTGCATGGACAGATGAGTATCAAAGGCTGGTGTTCCTGCTCCTTTTGTCTTGGATGTTAAACAAATGTAGCATTTAACTCTGCTTATTTGGCACCGATTCTGCAAAAAGTTGGGTGCAGATTCCCCGCTGCAGGCCCGTTTGGGACACATCACATGTCTTCATAGAATCATAGAATGGTTTAAGTTGGAAGAGGCCTTAAAGATCATTGAGTTCCAACCCCCCTGCCATAGGCAGGGACACCTCCAACTAGACCAATTTGCTCAAGGCCCCATCCAACCTGGTCTTCAACACTCTCAGGGATGGGGCATCCACGACTTCCCTGGGCAACTTGTTCCAGTGTCTCACCACCCTCAAAGTGAAAAATTTCTTCCCAGTATCTAATCTAAACCTGCCCTCTTCCAGTTTGAAGCCATTCCCCCTCGTCCTGTCGCTACATGCCCTTGTAAAAAGTCCCTCCCCAGCTCTCCTGTAGGCCCCCTTTAGGTACTGGAAGGCCGCAATAAGATCTCCCCGGAGCCTTCTCTTCTCCAGGCTGAACAGCCCCAACTCTCTCAGCCTCTCCTCATAGGAGAGCTGCTCTGATCGTCTTTGTGGCCTCCTCACGACCTGCTCCAACAGGTCCACAGTTCTCTCACGAACACAAGCTCACCTGCAGACACCCTCGATTCATCAGAAGTTGTCATCTCCTCAGTTTATTCGGCTGAAGCGAGTTTTCTCTACTTCACATAAACGCACAATGCGATTTTTAACTCCTTCCGATTTTATTAAAGACAAAACCTGCTGCGCCCCCGGCGTGCCAGCTCACCCGGTGGGCAGAGACAACCGCTACCACGGGACAG